CGGCGCGGCCGGCTAAAGCTCTGAGGTTGCAATCGACGTCGGCGTATGGTAGCGTGGTCATCGTTTTGTCGTTATACGACGTCGTCTCGTGTGTCTCTGAGTTTTCTTTGGAATTTAAACAAATTAATGTTGCGGATAACGTTGGAACCAGAATAGTGGTTTGGTGAAAGTAAAGTTTTGACAATTTATCCGTCTGGTAAAAAAATAGTAATCTCCCTCTGTCTGAAAAGGGAAAAGGGACTATTCCTACCCAAACAATTTCAGTCGTGTCAAATACAACCCGAACAAATTGTGAGTGCCGAATACGACATGAACTATGTTATAATTCAAAAAAAACTACCTGAACTTTTTAAAACGTGCCTAAACATACATTGACCGTAACAGAAGTTAGTCAATTGTTAAAATGGTAAAACGACATCGTTTTGATTTCTTTAAAAAAAAAATAATATGCACATTCCAAGACTTTAACCCGTGCCTTGTCACTCTTTAAAACAGACACATCAACCACTAGACTAAAGAAACTTTTTCATATAATACTACAAATTTGCAATTATACATGCTACTATACTTTTTCATCTTCTGTAATTAAAACTTTGGTTATTATTATTTTTGATTCTTATAAATATATTAACATGTTTTTTAACTATATCATATTTAATAAGTTTATATTATACTAAAATAGAAATAATAAAATATTTATATTTATACAAAATTAAATGTATTTCATATTTTGTACCTATTTACAAAATGTCCATATATAAATTATTTTAGAAATTTAAAATTTGAATTGTAATTTCTTTTATTTTGGAAAAGTATATTTCCTCAAGTAAAAATTAATATAAGTTGAATATACTTTGCCAAAATAAAATAAATTACCATTCAAGTTTTAAAATTTTAAAATAATTTATATATGGACATTTTGTAAATAGGTACAAAATATGAAATACATTTAATTTTGTATGAATAAAAATATTTTATTATTTCTATTTTAGTATAATATAAACTTATTAAAGATGATATAATTAAAAAAACATGTTAATATATTTATAAGAATCAAAAATAATAATAAGAAAAGTTTTAATTAGAGAAGAAGAAAAAGTATGGTAGCATGTATAATTCCAAATTTGTAGTATTATATGAAATAGTTTCTTTAGTCTAGTGGTTGATGTGTCCGTTTTAAAGAGTGACAAGGCACAAGTTCGAGTCCCGGAATGTGCATATTTTTTAAAAAAATAATGAAATCAAAACGACGTCGTTTTATCATTTTAACGGTTGACTAACTTCTTTTACGGTCAATATAAGTTTAAGCACGTTTTAAAAAGTTCAGGTAATTTTTTTTTGAATTATAACGTAGTTCAGATCGTATTTGGCACTGAAAAATTTTTCGGGTTGCATTTGACACGATTGAAATTGTTTGGGTATGAATAGGCTCTTTTCCCGTTTGAAAATGTAAACAGTTTTAGATAAAATCACTAATTTTTTTTAAAAAAATAGTATTTAATGTATAAGTTTAACCAAATATTATTTTTACATTGTTCAACTGTTCACACATTACTCAATAAATATAAAACTTACTTGTAATGTTAAATCTATATATATTTTTATATTTTTAAATGGTCAAAATTAAAAAGTTTATTTTTTTGAAAGAGTAAAAATAAACAGTTAAGTATTTAAGATTGATTATTCACTTCAGAAAAATTATGGAAAATGAACTAAAATTAATGGTTAGATAGGTTTCTCAAATTTTGATAATTAAATGATTTTCCGTGTTCATGAAACGGAAGTTAATATTTACAACTGAAATCTTATATAAAAAGTTAGCTTTTTATTTTCATAGAATCAAAAATGACATTTGTCATGATATCATTTGTTGAATGTTATTTTTATAGAGTTTTATTTTTTTATTTTAGCTTGAATTTTTTATTTATTAAAATTTCTTGGGCTTTAGTAATTTAAGATTATACAACATTATTATTTGAAGTCTTTATAGAAGAAACTTGTGTTGGATTTTCCAAAACTAATATAATTGATTTGAGTTATATAATGTTGTTTGTGTTTGTAAAGTTAGTGTTATGAGTATATATTGTTTTTTATAATAATTTACAACTTTTTATAAATATTTAACAATTTTTCACCAATATATGTTAAAAAATTCAGGTAAAATTTGTATAAAAAAATAGATTTGAGTTAAATGTTACCTTAAATACGCAAAAATCAGAGAATTGAACCAAAAATAACTGATTTAGAATTGTGCCCATTAGTATCCGAAAGTAATAGTTTATTTCAACATTTTTTGATTTTTGACCTAAATTATTTGAATACGGTAAGAACCGATCTGAAACCTAACCAAAAAATCAGAAGTACCTACTGAATCCGATTTTTCTATACCCAAAGGATTCATATCCGTCAGGAACCCAAATGCCAAGATCTATTCTAGACATTCAAATACTGCAGATTTCTTATACAAATATAACCAAATCAACAAAAAAACTAGACCGAACTAACCCTACTAATCAAATTTAAAACCCAATTAACCGAACGAAACGAAATTAACCAAATTTTTCCAAAATTTTAACAAAATTTAAACAAAAGTCTAACCCAAAATGAAAAAAACTTTCAAAAAAAAATTAAAAACTGAACAAATAGAGTACCAAACCAAACTCTATTTTGGGTTAGTTTAGTAAGATTTATGTCTGAGATGAATAACAACGAATTGAACCGCATGCTATGCCAAGTTATTGAGGTTACAACAACAATCACACACAAGTTTTACGACAATAAACTCTCACCTAACTGACTTACTAAAAATCACTATGTTTGCATCAAATATTATTATTACAAGCAGATGTGTCAATCTATTTGTCATATTAAGATATTTTTGTTGAGATTTATATGGTTTGCGTCTACCATTTTACTTCGACTTTGATTCAAAAAAAATTATAGGCTCTCACAAAAATAATTATATACATTAATACACTTATATCCAGTTATATCATCGGTAATATAATTTTATAGTTCAAAGATAAAAGATAAACAATTGACACGAAATGTTTCTAGCATCACTACATAACTGACCAGAACTAGTTATACATCTACTCAATAAAATGCAAAACTAAAACGAAGAACTCCCAAATTCAGCTGAGAATAACATAGCAAGTCACTTGACACATGCGCTAACAAAATTTTGTAACGGTTAACATCACACAGCATGTCCCAACAAAACATAATAAGCCTTATAAACATCCACATTTGTAAATGGTACACTTATACAACCTAAATCTAGAACTTAATCCCATATATAGTTATGATTAGATTAACAAAAAAGTAAACCGATTAACCTAAGGGATGGTGCATGCAATACCATATAGAAGATAATAATGAATAACCATCCTTGCTTTGTTGAATACAATAAAAATAATTAATAACAAAACTGTTATAATGGTCTGAAACAGATGCACAAAAATATGAACCGTCAAAAACATTCCATGCATTTTATAACCCATCATCTAATAATACATAAATCATTTTCGAGTTATAGCAACTTATTCTAGCTATTCACAAATTACAGAACTATTTAGACATGTCTCAAGCATCAACCAAAAATTTAGTATCAAATCTAAAATGGTGGAAACAGAAAAAAAATACACTTACACACCAATTGTTTATAAACAAAAGATTACATTCCACGCGAAACGCGCACAAACCACTAGTACCATAATAATTTGTACAAAACCTCATATTTGAAGTTCATTCTTTTTAAGTCTTGTAATTATCTGGTTTTTAAATAAATTGTTAACTTTTACTGTTATCACTTTAATATTTATAATGTTTTTGTTTTATACAATTTTTGAAATTTTAGTCTTTATAATAATTTTGTCGGCTTTTATCTTCATCATTTTATTCTTTACAATTTCCCTTTTATTATCTTCTACAATCTTATATAATTTCATATACTTTTCAATTTTTACTGTTATCATTTTAGTTCTTAATTTTAAAGATTTAGTTATTCTTTTTTTCTTTTTGTGTTAATTTTTAGTTGAATGTAATATTTTACTGATTATAATACTTATAATATTTTTGTTATATCTGCTATCGTAATATAAAAGTATTGTTACTTTTACTAATTTTTATCAACAATAAAGATTATAATATAAAACTATAAAACATTTAAAGTTAGATTTGAAGTTCTTCAATATGAAGTTTTATCAATTTCAAAAATGAAATTGTTTTTGGAGATGCTTAGGGACTGTCTTAATATCGATTAAATATTCTTTTTCGCCAACGGTTAAATACTTATTTTGAGAATTCTTGACAATGGAGAGATGCTTTTCGGGTTACTAATGAACACGTTGTTTTGTACAACTAAATTTTTTTGGTGGATGTCATAATCCCCTTATTATTAAAAGGGAAGCAAATAAAAAGAAAAACCTTTAAATTGTACTATGTTTACCTATGTGCCATTATGACGACGTGTCAGATAGATAGAGCCCTCAGACCATCTTTAAAAATACCCATCTCCATCTAGACAATTTACGAAAATTGCCATTGGAATTGTCATTGGACTGACTGTTTTAATACAAAGTAATTGCATTATATTTGTAAGTGTATACAAAGGGGTATATTTTAGTAGAAAATTGTCTCTCTGTCTCTGTCTCTCTTCCTTTTACTTAATTGCATAGAGTAGTTTAGTTTTGATTTTTTTACCTCTTAGGACACTTTTTGTCTTATGATTATCATTCGTAGACACTTCATTCAAGTAGAGCACTTATTAGAGTCGAATTTCATTTATGCCCTTAACCGTAGTTACTTAGCCGTAGTTACTTAAACTAACCAACATCTCACTTAACCGTAGTTACTTAACCGTAGTTACTTTAATTTGAACCCAGATCGGAATTCCCCTTTCACAAATCAGAAACCCTAATTTCAGTTTCCATCTCTCTCCAATTCCTCCCAATCCCTCTTCCGCATGCGACAAACCTATATTCCGTGACGCCTCAACAATGACGAAAGGGAAGCCAAAGAAGAAGATGAAGACTTCTAAAACTTCTGAGGCTCTACATCCACCGGAGAACGCAGGAGGTACTTGCTCTGTTTTTATTTTTTTTCCCGACTTCAAAAACTTCTGAGGATTTTTGAAACTCTTTTAGAAGATGAAGTTTTAGAAGTTCAAAAGCAGTTCGTTTAGAAGTCTTTCTGAAACTTCCTCTCAAACTTTTTTAAAAAACGTTTAAGAAGTTCAAAAGCACTTTTTATTCTCTCAAACATCAAAAGCAGTTTTTGTGTTATGATTCTTCTATTTTTAAAGCGTCTTTCTGAAATTTTTTGTGTTATGATTCTTCTATTTTTGTTTTGTCTGAAATTGTCGTTTGCTGTTTTCTGTGTTTTTTTTGTCAAAATTAGGAAACTTGCAACCGGATCTCCGACTCCCGCCGAGACTTTTTGCGACGGATAGGTTCCCCATCAACAAGCTCAATATATACTCTTCACCGGAGATCCTCCCTTTCCTTCGTCATCTTCTTAGGGATACTCCAGAGTTTCAAACAATTCGCCAGTCTAGTTTTGGAAAGCTATTCGACATCCCTGTTCGCCAATGTCCAGTATCTGCAAAGCTAATTCACTCTTTACTCACTCGGCAGCTTATTTGTCTACCAAGCCACACACTTTGGTCTGCTTTCGGTGGTACCCCTCTCCGTTATGGTCTTGAAGAGTTTGGTACTGTCACTGGTCTGCATTGTGGAGCTTTCCCTGAGGGATATCATCATGACACTGCTGAAAAGGTTGTTGCGGGCAAAGATAAAGTGTTGAAGCGTCTTTTTGGGAAGAAGAAGTCGCTTACTGTTGCTCAACTGTGTCAGATGCTTGAAAAGGAGAAGGACATGTCAAGTTGGAGGAAGATACGAATCGCTTTGATCATCATTGTGGACGGTGTGCTCATTGCTCACCAACAAGAAGCACGACCCACTCCTCGATATGTTAGGATGGTCGGAAATTTGGACACCTTCTTTGACTTTCCTTGGGGTAGAGAATCATTTTTAATGACTATCTCATGCATGAAACCTCCCAAGCGACAGCTCCCGAAATGCCCTGATCATGTTGCTACATTGGTGAGCAAACTCAAGCAGCACTCTTTCAGACTTCAAGGCTTCCCTTTGTCACTTCAATTGTTGGCATTTCGTGCAATCCCTCAGCTGCTGTCTTTCATACCTGCGCCACTTGACCAGGGGACACTAATGGACCTACAAGATGGTTATTTACCACAACGCCATTCCATCAATTACATTGATATCCTCCGAGTAGAGTTCTCTACTGATGTAAGTAATCTTCTCTTATATTTTAGAATTCCAGATTGAGCAATTAGATTCAATGACTAACGAACTATCATCTATTTTCAGCTTGTTGTGTCATCAATTATACCTATTGAAAGTCAATCACATCCCGGCTGGGGAGTCTGGTCCAATGACTTCAAGGATGATAGTGTCATTTACATGGAACAATTGATAGCTGATCAGCACACTTTCACCAAAGCTATGTGGCCAGGTTGTGTCGCAACCGAGCCTTTCATTAGAAAGCCTAAGTAGCATTGTAAGTCGAGAAACCGGAAGAAACAGTCCACTCGTATTAAGCAATCTCTCAAGCCAAAGAAGGTCATCAAGAAGGATACTTCTTCAAGGAAGCAAAGGCGCATAACTTCCTACTTCTCGACTGATTCCATCACCACTTTCTCCAATGCACAACTCTCGGCAATGGTTATCAAATTACAGAAGCAGATGAACAAGATGCAGAAACTCTTGAGGCGTAAGCAGAAGAAAACCCATGCAAGGAAAACTTCTTTTCATACAACAATGTCTCGTTGGAAAAAAAACACATCTCAGCTCTCAAATGATCAGGTTCGGTTCAATGTACTTTTCAATTTTTTTGTGATACTTCTCAATTTTTTGTGATACTTTACAAGCTTGGTAGAGATCTAATTGTGTTCATAATAAAGCTTTTATTCCAATTATGATTCCAAGATTTTCTTATACAAGCTTTTCTGTTTTTAGGATCATCCCAAGCACCACGTAACGACGATCTCCCCACTGATCAGGTGAAGTTCAATCTACATTGTTCTTATAGCGAACGTTTATTACCAAAAAAAAATACAACCTTTTCTAATACACAGTATATGTCCTTTTAGGATGTCTCCGACACATTTCATCAGAGTGTAGAGCCTGAACAAATAACACCACTCCACCAAGAACCCCCCACTGATCAGGTTTTGTAAATCAACTTATGTTCTTCCACACTAAACTATTCCTTATACACTCTGCTATTCTTGCTTTTAGGATGCTGCAATGGAGACAGATGATCCTCCTCAAAGCCACTCACCTATCATAAGTCAGTACGCAGCACATATCCACCGCCAAACACCGCTCATGTCGACCATCCACACAACCACAGTCCACGACTCTGCTGAACACAACAACACTTCCGTCAACACATCACCTGTCCACGACTCTGGCGACCACAACAACACCTCCGTCTACACATCACATGTCCACGACAATAGCGACCACAACAACAATACCGACCACGCTTCACCTGACCACGAAACCGACGAACAGGATCGCATTGCTGACAACATTCCCCCCAGCTCTCATTCCTCCCCGGTTCATATACAACCATTTTTCTTCCATCACAAAACACTGACATGATCAGTCCTGCTGCTGACGAACAATACCACCCCAACTCTGTTATCTACGATAAAAGTGATCATCCCAACATCCCCGAAATTAATCACATACTCCTTCATGGAAAAAGGATTTACGACCCAATCAGCCCCGACCCTACTTTTTCCAACCCACCTGTCTTCGACTCCACGATTGGTCCATCATCCCCTCAAGGCTCTCATTTACGTTTGTCACCACTCCCTTTTACACCACTTACCTCTCCAACTAAGAGTACTGATAGTGGTTTAGGTTTTGCGGGCCACGCAGCCACACCTAATGCTTTTACAACCACAGCTTTATCCAACACTCCACCTTCCATAGGAAGTACTGCTTCTGCTACTCAGGTACGTTTCATACATACCTTCCCACCATAATACCCTTCAAACACAATTCATTTACATTTCCTTTTCAAATCAACAGGGAACACAGGTTATTGAGGATGGCCTTGTCGACCTCACACTAACAAAAGACCCCTCCAGACATGTTCCATCTAGGGAGGAAAACCATCTTGCAAAGGAACTACTCAGTTCTCCACTTATTCCTGCTCTAGCCCTCATCACCCCACTTCCACAGATCCAGTGGGACCTTTTCCACAAAATTCTTTCAGCCAACATAGACGTGTAAGTTTTACTAATATACAACCCCTTCAATCATATATTAACATACTCTCTTACATGCTATCAATTTTTGGGAATCACAGTTACCACGTTACAACATCTTTGTATGAATTCTCCAACAAATCCCTCCTCCAATTAGCGGAACCAAAGCACTGGACAACAAGCTATGTAAGCCTCCGTTTTCTTTCTTCTGTTACTTATTATCTGAGCATACACCTATGTTGTTTTAAACTAATGATTGTGCACATGCTGAGCATACACTTATGTTCTTTCTTCTGTTACTTATTAACTGAGCATACACTTATATCTTGAACAGCAAATGGAAATCCTTGTGCACATGCTGTCTGAAAGACACTCCGACATACTGGAGAGGGAAAGAGCTGCATTCGCGTCACCCATCTTACCGGCATCTATCCTGACCAACTATGCCAAATTCAAGTCCTCTAGAAAGAAAAACACATTCACTTGGGACCAGCGTGTTGTCGACTTTGTTCTCCACCCAGGGAAGAAGTGGATGGAAGATATCACCACAATTTACACGCCTATGGTCTGGAACGATTCCCATTGGGTGGGCCTAGCAATTAACCTTGACATGGGGTTAATTGAAATACTTGATCCTCTTCCAACTTTGTACGCAGACAGGCGCGTGGCTCGGTTCATGCAACCCTTGCTTGCTTCGCTCCCTTACTTTGTGAAGAAAGTCGCTATGTGTGACCTAACACAATTCAGTGGCCTCAAGCCCTTTGTCTGCAGACGTATTCCAGACCTTTACACAAACACTCGATCTGGTGATTGTGGACCCGTCAGCATGAAGTTCTTGGAGATGCACCCCCATGGTGACCCAGCCCCTCATATGAACAGCATCACAGACCCAATCGTGGACGACCTACGAAAGCAGTACGCTATGGACATCTACAAAACCATAGTCCTCCCTTCTTACTATGGACATCTACTCAGGCCTAGACGTTAACCACCGAACTCCTCCCTTCTTTTGTGTAATATTTTGGAGGTTCCTTCTGTCTTTAGTTTAATGTTTTTGATGCGATGCTTCCCAGTCGTGGCGAAAACTATACGCTAGTTCTAGACTTTATTTACTAATTGCTTCCGTTTTATAAATTCTCTATGAATATATGCAAATTTCTAAGTTTCGTCCAGATCCACGTACCGTGAAATACACAATCGGAATGGCAATAGTGTCCATATCCACGAATTATCGTCTACAAGGCCCATTAAAGAAATCAACACGGCCCAACTACCAAGGAAATGTCAGCCTTCACATAATATCGGAACTCAAACAAACTTACGTTTCAGTATAATATCCGAAGTCTCGATTCAAGACAAATCCCAATTTAGATCCGATCTACTATCCTCCCCAAAACTTCCACACCTTCTCCTTAATCTTCGACATGAGCTCATCTGATTCTTCTTCTCGTTCTCAGACAGGAAGACAGACAGTTGGCATCCCCACTCGTTGTTGGTGTGGATCAAACCTGACTACATTCGGCGCTTCAACGAAGGAGAATCTTTTCCGCAGGTTTCATCGGTGCGAACTAGGCGTCAAGGTATGCTCCAAATCCATGTCTTAATACACTACTTTCATCTAACATCAAAATCTAAAGTATTTCAAAATTGAGAGAATATTTTTTAGAGGAAAGCAGAACACCACTTGTTCAAATGGTGCGACGAGGCCATTGTTGACGAGATTAACATTGTCGATGCTAAACATTGTCACCTAAAGGCAGATGTAGACTCTTTCAAGAGGTTCACAACACAGAGTTTGGAAAAGCAAGCAAAACACCTTGAAGATGCCCTTCTGCAGATTAAAACGCTCCTTGATGACCAAACTGCTCGAAGTGGGACAAACAACAACTCAGACTCGGCCACAGAAGATACTTTGCCTGCTCAATGCCTCCCACCCGTTGCGTACAAGTCAAAATCACCAGTTATCAACATCGCAGTTGCAGCAATTGCACTAGGAACAATGGCATGGCTCTACACCAAGCTCAATTCCTAATTGGTGGAAGAGCAGTATACTCCTCCATTTCACATATCCTTCGTTCTGAAACAACATTATGTATTATGTTATCGCCTCTAATTTTGCTTCAATGTTCACTGTAGTAGGATTGACGCTGGTAGACCTTTTCTGATTATGGCATCTTGCAAATGTTATTTGTTGTATCCACTACCTTATGTGAAAGATGTTGCTTTTTAAACAATTATGCTCCTATTCTAAGAGCAATCTTCAGTTCTACCAAACTCAAAAAACAAATCCACTCCTTAACATGACTAAAACGAACCTCTTTAAAAAATCAATATGGAGCTCTACCAAAACAAACATGTCCAACCCTAAATCAAAATAAACATGTCCACATCCACTTCCAAAATAGTAGAACTTCATCTCGATCGATGGCCACCAGTTTACAATTTACTCTAGCCCTCATAGGGGAAAATCTCCACATAACTAAGATACTCCATGGTACCCAAAAAAATACACTCAAATCATGTTTAAAATAGCCTTGAATAATCTTGCCATTGTCAATATCAAACCTTCCAATCCGCCGATCACAGGATACTCTGTATCGTCAAAAAAACTTCCTTCACCAACTCTATATTGGGTTGGTGCAATTAGTGCAGTTGTGTCCAACACCTCTACACCTACCACATCTGTTCTGCACCTGTTTCTTCTTTGGGAGCTGCACCAATACAAATATACTATCAACCAAACAATATCTTCAAAGTTAAACATTTTCAAGGTACCAACTCACATGTATCTCCCCCGTTGAAGGTATGTGTGTCTTGCGACGGCGCCCAGCTTGCCTTTTTGTGTTAGGAGGGTAAAGGACCATACTGCTGACTTCTTCAGGTATTTCAACATCCCCTGGATCACCCTCTGGACTGATCACACCTGCATATGTCTCTCTCCACACTGATGTCTTGTACCAATGCCCACACAATGTTTCGTAAGCCACACCGAGTCTGTCAGCTGCAAGCATAGCATGGCCACAAGGTATTTTGATATCATCAAAATACTTACAACTACACTTTTTCTCAGCTAGCATTACCTTGTCTGATCTGCCAAACTTTCCAACAATCTGGCTGCTCCAACTATCAACAGCATTTATCCTGATACCTTTAACAGTGGCCATGTTCTTTGTCATCTCTTTGTCCACTTCCACGCTCACAGCACCTCTGTGTTTCTCGGCTTTTTTCCTCCTTGCACAGAACCATCTCGTCATCATGCCTTGTATGAATTTAACCAACTCAACAATGTTGGCTCCCCTACCTTCCAACCAACAGTGCATTGTTCAACTGCTCAGCAATATTGCTAGTCATGATGTTATATCTATCTCCTGGGAAATTTAATCTAGACCAGCGAGCAACACCTATTTTGCCCAAATAAACACCACAGGCACTGTTAGTCGCTCTTATCTTCCCATAAAGTTCCTTGAACTCTCGAGGCATATGAGCCATTGCTGCAGCCGTCACCATCTTAGCTAAATGTTTACTAGAAAACCTAGAGTTAACATTCCTTGCCAAATGAACTATGCAAGCTCCATGTTTTGCTTGCGGATATATCTTACTCACCGCATTCGAAATACATACAGCCCTGTCAGATATTATTGCAAGAGAAGGCGAATCACCAAGTATCCTCTCAACTTTCTGCAAGAACCAGGTCCACGCATCCTCATCCTCACTGTCCACAATCCCAAAAGCGAGCGGAAAGATCTGAAAATTGGCATCCTGCCCACTAGCTGTCAATAGAACACCTTTGTACTTGCCACTAAGATGTGTACCATCTATCACCAGAACATGCCTTAGCTTCCTAAATCCACTCAATGAAGCACCAAATGCAAGAAAGAGATACAAAAAACGTTCATCACCATCTTCATCTACATCTGTTTCCAAATCCGCAATTGTACAAGGATTTGCAAGCTTCAGCATGTGAAGATACTCGGGAAGCTTTAAGTATGAGTCCTCGTCAGAACCTCTCATTCCCAGCACCGCCTTTTCCTTGGCCCTGTAGCACTTCATGTACGAGGCATTTACACGAAGGTCCTCCAACAACAGTTTCTGCAAATCCCTTGCTACAGGCGACTTCCCGGGGTTCCCAAACTTTGCTTTGTATACAGCTGCAATCACACGTGATGTTGCTATACTCTTGTAGCCCTGCCTGAATTCTATCGGGCAAACATGATCAAGTTGCGCCTTCTTTATCTGATAGTAACCACACCCTCTGATTTCATGTGCTGTAAATCACACCTTTCGTCTGGACACTGCACAACAAAATAGTCAATTTTGGTCCTTGTCTGCCTGAACTTGAATTGTTTTTCAATAGCATAAATTGCTAAAGCTATTTGACAATCCTCCTTACTCCCAAACACCTTTCCAACTGCTATTTGGCTATCACATTCATCAACATCCATGTCAGGAATTTCAGCAGCTTCATACTCTGTATCGTCAAACAAGGGCGGGATATCAAATTCTTCGTCGTCAACATCCGCAAGCTTACGTCTTCGACTACCGGTAATGTTAACACCTCCACCAGCTTCGTCGCCACCTCCATTCCCAGGATTATATCCCCTCGCCTTCTCTGCTTTTCCTTTATCTTCTCCACCCATATCCCCACCAGAACAATTACCCGTCTCGCAAAAGTAACTCCTAGGCCCATTTTTTTTGTTCAACCCTTCAAAAATCTCGTCTTCGTTGAAGACAACATCCACAGCATCTGAACCGCCATAATCCCCATCTACTAACGGTTTCCAAAACTCTTTGTCGTAACTTCGAGGCCTCAGTTCAATCTCGTTCAACTCAGCTTCCACATTACATGTTCCCTCTGTCTCAATACTAGCGCCACTTTCCTCCACAACCTTCCTACTTTCCCCTTTATCACTCTCCCTCATTGTTTGGGCTTCCAATGACTCTACCTCACTGAAAAAATCATTATCTTCACCAAGGTTTACAACCTTCGTCTTCGACAAAGCAGAGGACAAGTAACCCTTTTGACGATTCCCAGAACAAAACTTTGCTGCATTTGGCGAAACAAATCCCATTCCAGAGTCATCCACAAAATCGGCGTCCACGGACAAGATTTTCGTGGCAAATTTTGCAAACAGATTCATCCCACCATTCACTTTCAGATGTTGGCAAAAGTATTTGACAGAACCGTCGCTTGTTATCAGAACAGGAGGAGTCCGAATCCCAGTAGCTAGCTCAAAACTTGTTGGTGGCCAATAGCTCAACGAAACATCGAACCCAGCTTCATCCATTCTAAATTCCCGAAAAAACATTTCTTTGAAGTTCCAAGTAACCAATACCCTCGTATAAGGGTACCATACGCCCCATCCTATTCTTCTCAACCACGAAATCCCATTTCCCTCCCTCTCCACATACCCAGTCACCGCTTAAAACCAAACATTGCTCTTCCATAGCAGAGGACCTGCTTCCTAAATACTTAAGGTAAAAAAAATTTCAACCAACACGTTTTGTTATCTGAGTAATCTTGTTATCTTCGGTGTAAAAGTTAAATCTAAAAAAAACAAACCTTCACAGAGCTTGCTGGAGCTTGTTCTTCTGAAAAATTCTGACCGAGGAAGAAACCAACGTAACATAGCATTTATTATCAAAAACCTACTTCTTCTCTCAGCCTTAGATTCTCATCAATCCAACGGTTGTTAGGCGACTCTCTTTTCTATACACCAACCATAATAAATCCTAGTACGAAACAGGTTTGGTTCGCGGAAAGGAAACATGATTTGTTAATTATATTATTCTCAAAATAACTTAATCCCACGAAAGGGATACTTTAGTCTCCACAGGCCCAGTTGGTGAGAATAAAGTGCCCAACAAGTGTTAAGTGTCTTATTCTGTAGTAAAAGTGAAAAAAGTGTCCCAATAAAAAATCAACTCTTTAGTTTTCCTGCTAATATTTATTTAGTATTTGTGGGACACATAGCTTATATTCCTGCATTGTTAATTATCACATCTTGATTGTAGAATACTAAGGGGATTTACCATGCCAACCTATATGACGTGATGATATGAATCATCACCTAATATAATAGGACAGACATACCTTTCATACCCTTTCATAATATGATTAAGTTTCCTTTTTTGCATGTACTCTGTACCTATCCCTCAATGAATTTATGATAAATTAAACAAGAAAATACGTTTTTATGTTAGCACATAGTTCCGACAATATACAAAACATGATATTAGAGATCAATATTGGAAAACTTCTTTTATACACCCTTTTCCAAAATAAGAAAAATAACTTCTGTTAAATCTCTTTTATATAGTTGCATTGATACTGCAAATATTATTCTCATAAATATTGTATTTATTTAAGGAGGATTTAGCTCTCTGTTAGTTGTAAATATTGACCTAAATTAAATTGATGACTTCGTAATATATGCACTGAGAGGATGAGACCACCCAAATATTATAATTATAAATATTGTATATATTTAAGGAGGATTTAGCTCTATTAGTTGTATATAGTTACCTAAATTACATTCACCACTTCCTAATATATGCACTAAGAGGGTGAGACCACGCAAAATTATGGAATGTAACGAATAATTAGCCAAAAACCTGTACGTCATTTAAGTCTATTGAAAAATACATATGAGCTAAACTAATGTGTTATGTGGGATGTCCATAGAAATCTAACAAGTTGTGTTCACCTTTTTCCATTCAGGATCAACATGAACAATCGCAAAACGAGAAAACGAGACGACAGTACAGATGATCAACGAGTTTCAAAAATACGGAGACAAGGTGAATCATATTTTTTTAAATACCTGTTAATTTCTTAGTTGTCAAATCCTTCACACACATCTGACTTATACCACCCTTTATTATACCTTTTTCTGGTTACAAAGAAACAAAAGGAGATGTAAACCAAAGGAAATGTAAATACACGGATTCAGATTTCGGTTTATGAAAATTAGCTATCACTATCATATCTATTTGGGTCGGTTTATACTATCGAATTTTGGTTTACTCAGTAGT